ATGTTTGGTTGCGGGGGTGGTGGACGATGGCGGTGAGGAGTTTGGAACTTGAGCGTTTCTTCCCAGTTCGAGAAATCCACCAACTCTCAACGCATTTTGGGCGGATAGGAGTTTGGGTTTCTTTACAATTTCTGAACAAAGTCGTCGATTTTTTAATTAGCTTCAGTGAGATGCCGCCTCCAGTGGCGCCGACCGTGACCATCGCGTCGAAGCAGATCGAAGAACTCCTAACTCTGCTCTTCTTCACCGATACTACTGAATCTGGATCAAAGTTTTTTGTAATGTGTTTTTATTTGTTCAATTTACATCGTTTGTTGGCCAATGGAAATGGATAATTTAAGGTGGGATATTTTTGTTTTGACTGCAAAACCCTTTTTTCCGCCTCACTTCAAAAAATGGGAATCCATCGCTGATGTCTCAACGTTCAACATCGCCTGCTCTAAAATCATCCACCACCCTGGTTCCTCATGGTCTGCTCCCGAAACTGAACCCCCACCCACGACAGTGTTGCTGTCCGAGAAGAACTGGAAGCAGCGCAAGACCCCGCTTTTCCGGCGTGGATTATATTTCAGTTGCCTCCTCCAGCGGCTTCATCTGCTTTCCCGACCTTCACTTTATGAGGTAATTGTTTTACTCCAATTTTCATCTTCTAGGGTGTTTTCTTCTCTTACCTCGATCTTCATGGTCATGGACACAAGGAAGTGTATATGGTGAACAAAGGGTCGGTGATTAAAAAATAATAATAATAATAACAGAAGAAAGGTCGACAGCAATGATCATTTGTTTAGATGAAAGTGTCAGTAAAGTAAATCTCATCAAAAATAAAGTTCAGTGAATTTGAAGTCAAGTAAATCGCTACAACAATAAAAAATTTCATAACAAATAAAAAAGAAGATCGTTCATGAAACTCTATGCCACAGTTGTTTTATTTTTGTGCCACGGTTGTCTTGTTCTCAAGTAATACTATGGTGCACTGTTGTATGATGCTTTGTTGTGATTAATGCACTATATTGTTAGTAAGTTGCTTCTCATTTTGAAAATATAATACCAACAGTTTTTTCTACAGAATGATTATGGTTTGCTGATGGTTTGTTGATGTGGAGGTACTCTGGAAATCGCCCACCGTCACAGGGACGTATTGGGTTCATTGGGGGTCGAAGAAATCGAATGAGCGGACCAATTTAACTTCTATGCCTAAGAATAATGCCTTCTTCGGAATTTTATTATTCAGTTAATTCTATCTCGATATTCTTGTAATAATAATTTAAAGAACTTTCTAAAGTCATAATTGTAAATCGTGTTAACTTATGTTAGAAACTTTTGGGAACTGAAAAATGCCTGATTTTATTTTTCATAATGAGTAGGTAATGGGCAAGTTGATATCTTGATGAAGGATTTCCTTATAGGTCTTTTATTGTGAAATTATTGTCCGTGAAGACTTGATATTTCAGAAAAAAAAACGCGAGTTGTGTTTCTTTTCTTATATGTTACATATTACATGTAATGTTTGTTAGTGAAGGCTTTGCAAGCAAGTGTTGATGTTCGTCTAACTGACGTAACCCGTTCAAAAGCACCAGTTACTGTTTAACAACTTTTGGTAGACAAATATGCTACATGTTCATTTATGGAACTTCTCAGTGATGAGCAAAGGTATTGTCTATTAACAAACTGTGAGGTTGATTTGCTGCTTTAGTTGGTTTATCTGTTAATTTCTTTTTAGTTGGTTTATTGAATATAAAAAACAAAAGAAGGGAATGCAAAGGTATTGTAGTCGTTTGGTTTAGCCGTTTGATCTTGTGTATGGCTTGTTCTCCACTGATTGAAACAATGGGATTCTTGGGTCTTTGGATATGAAATTAAGAGCACCACAAATGATGTTTTGACTTTTTTGAGACAACATTATATGACGTTCTTTATTTAGGTTGAAGGAATCCTCTATGTTGGCCATACTCTTTGGCCATCTGTTTGTACTACTCGCTCTCCAATTTGACGACGACCTTCTCACCCTAGGGGTAGAAGATGACATTGAGCACTCAGTGGCACCATTTGTTGATGCTCTCAGAAGTGGATAAGAAACATCGTGGCAATTTTGAGATAGAATTCGCTTGGATCCGTGTATAAAAGCTGTCGGGTCTGCTGCTAAGTAGTTTACGCAAAATTTCTTGCTTGAAATTCGAAACTAGGGGAGCAAGAGTTACAAATGGAGGTATAAATGCTTGTGTCTATTCACTTTATACTATTAACTTTATACGTGAAATAAATTATTACTGAATTAAATTATATTGCAGTTTATTTGATGTTTCTTGTTTTTCAGTCGCCTTCTATGTTATGATATATATCAATTTGAATTCTTAATATAATATGTTTGGATTGAAATAAATCGGAGGTCGTTTTACCTCAACTGTTTATTTCATTTTGCTAATTTTTGTACGGAGTTCTTAATATAATCTGTTTGGATTGAAATAAATCGAGGGTGTTCTTACCTCATCAGTTCAGTTCATTTTGCTAAGTTTTGTACTGCACATCTTCCATGCATCTTTTCTCCGTGTACATGACTATCATAAAAGACTTGAAAGCATTTTATTACTGGAATTTGACTGGATCTCATCATCATCGTTTTTTTCTGTTTTGCTGTGACTAATTGTGTTGGAAAAACCATTTTAGCATGCATAGTGAGAGAGACCAATAGTTACCAACATTTTCGGCACATGTTATACTATGGAGGCTGATAGTAATGTTGATCGAATTCCAGTCACACTTCTTGATATTGTAGAATTTATAATCAGTTCGTGTTACAACACTAGGTATGTTAGTAGTTTACTGTGCCACTATACAAAGCATCAAAAACTCCAGTTCTCATATGTGTCTATTAATATAGTATACACGTTTATCTATGGCTGCATAGGGTCTCTATTAGCTTCAAGTGACACAATTCACACATTAGCACCTGCATTTTAAGTATTTTCATTACTTTACCTCTATAGATGAATTTGATTTCTCACTAATTTCTTATTGTTTAATTTCAGACAAACAATTTGGGTTCCACTTGACCCATAGGAGATGATGCTTAGCCTTCTGCCCTGGGACCCCTTTCTCACCCTCGAAATCCTCCACTCCAGATCATGGATACTCTCAAGTTCCCTGTTGGCGCCCTCCGATTCGAGTTCTAAAGATTCCTTGTCGGCTTAGATGAGTCGACCATCTGACTCGGGGCTTATGTGCTTTACGGACCCTCCAGCCGCCACAGGGCAAGAACGGCCATAGACACAACCTAATCAAGTGCCCCGCTGAGCAATGGACACCACAGCATGAAAGATTTCATCATTAAGGTTTGTTCCTTTTTTTTTTACACCAAAGAGTGGCATGGTAGTCGAGCTGAATTAAGAAAGTTTTTTTGTCATTTCCTTTTTCCATTTCTGTATTTTCCATCTATAACTATAACTTTCTTTTTGTATTTATTTGTTTAATTTTTGTTGGTAGAATGATAGAGATGCAGAAAAAAAGGTTGAAAAACAATGGATTGTCTACAAGGAAAGGAAAAGCTGGAAAGGAATAAATGAAACATGGGAAGCCCGAATTAGGGGATTTAGATGGATTCTTGGGATCCTGGACATTTGAGAATGGAAAGCTATCAATTAGTTATCCTACCATATATTTATTATCCTATTACCTTATATAAATAATAATAATTTTATAAAAGGGAGTTAGAAAGTGAGGATGGGACATCGGGTAGAAATAATCTTAATAGCTTGGCTATTGGGCAAGTTATCTTGCTGGGAAGTTTTATACTTCTGTCATTGTTCTCCTCTTTTCATTTATAATAAATTTGTGTGTCCATTCCCCTTTTTTTAATTATTTGATCCTTTACTCCTATCAATTGGTCCGACCTGCC